TTCGACATTCCAAGTGATCCAATCGGTAACGGCTCTCGTCCATCGGTTGTCGTTGAAGAGCATTACGTGTTCGGTCCAATTTGCGATAGCCTATCCTGTAGAACGACATCGTTGACCTTCACTCGATGACGTAGATGAGAACTTCGTATCCTTTCCCTTAGTTTTGAATATATGATACTTCTAACATCGATCTTTCGACTGCTCGTTCAATAATACCAAATGATTTTTCATCATGCTTACGTAGCGATCAGGTTTCTGCTGCGTTCGATGAGGCAGAGATAACTGTCCAGACGAAATGGTGGCCACAAAGTCGGATGTTCTTCGTTTTTTTCACTACGACCTCGATGATTTTGAACGCTCCCCAAGCCACTCCTTTGCTCCTGCTCAACTCTGGGGCTAGGTCGTTCATCATGTTGACTACACGACCTAGATAGACGTAACTGAAGCATTCGGAAATTGTCGTTCCGTTGAGCGTGAATGGGACATTCACAACCCATTCGTTCCTCATAAACATCGTTTTCGTTTAATTTAGTCGAAGGCCAATAGTTCCACAAGCGCTCCAAAATCGGTCAACATTAAATCCGCCTTGTCCATGCCAGGAGTTACCATCAGCGACCTTCGACAAAGTTCGGCCAAAGCAAGGATAGTTTAAATGTCGGCCGTCGATTATCACTCCCACATCGCCCCATTCTAATGTTCGCATGATGTTTTGGAGGGTGGCAGTGAATAATTTTGCAAAGATTGTATTGCCTTGTCAAACTCCTCTTCCTTCATTGACATTAATGTCGTCATATAACGGCGATATTTTGTTGAGTAATACTTACATGACCCACGGGAGATTGTTATGTACCGAATAGGGACGCTATGGGTGTCCAGAGTCTCTATGACCGTTTTTGTTTCATTTGAATCAAAGGTTTTCTAAAAACGATGAAAAATAGACAGAACGGTTTTTTTGTACTGCTGTGGAACTTTGATGAATCTTGTGATCGTAAGGATGTGGTGCATGATACTAGATCCGTTACAAAAACCCTGTTTGTTTGCATGCTTGTCGTTCGTCCAGTGTCTGGTCAGTCCTGTTTAAGACAACTCCAGTGAAGTGTTTATAGACAACGGACAACAAGCAGATTGGGCTATATTTGCCTGTGTCATGAAGGTCTCCCTTTTTGTCCCAAACAACACGGGTTGGTGAGAAATGGCGATAGGTATTTGAGGTGTCCCAGTCCTATTCTGTCTGGAACGGGCGTTCTTCTATTCATCAACGACGAAATAGAATGTCGAATTTCATAAGGATAACCAGTGAACTACAAGTTCATCCTCTTTCAGTTTATATGACGATTAGAAGACATGGCTATCATAGAGATTCGAACAATACTGCTGGATAATTTTCGCCATTGCCCTTCTGGAAGCTGTGGGTGTCCTGTCAGGGCATAGGAGTCAATCATCTCGGTCTTATAATTAACGAAGCCTTGTTGGGCTTTGCGAATGCTTTCCCAGCTTCGGAGGCTTCTGCCATATATGTTACTCGTCTTTTTCTAAGATCCTCGTTTATCGCTTCTCTGCAAGGTTTCGCAAGTTAGGACGTGAGGCTTTGGTCGCCTGTAGTTTGTGCGATTACACGCTGACGTATCACCTCGAGTGTTTGCAGAGGCAAGTGCCTCTTCGTCACTTTAGGAATCTCGACTTTCATAGATCTGTCGTGAAGATATTGAATGAGCTGGTCGTGTCCTCTGCCGATGTTGCCAAAAACGATATCCATCCATGTGCTGACTAGGAACTTGAATACATCCCAGTTCATGGCAGTTCTAGGACTTCGTTCTTCATATTCAGCGGCTTTCTCTTCTTTACGCGAAAAATGGAACGTTGCGTGAAGAAGATGATGGTTTGATTTTGTGTAGAAACATAGAACAGCGGCAACATCAGTCAGGCAAAATCTTTGATTTACTAATATGTGGTCTATTTCGTCACAATACTTTCCATTGGGAGACTCCCACGTCCACCGTAGAAAGTGAGATTTTGGAATTGTGAGTTGCCATGAACGGTTCTGATCGTCATGATAAATTCTGATAGCCTCTCATCCTGTCCATTCCATTCTAGTCTGTGGGTCCTTCCTCAGTCGTCCATTTGAGACCCATTTTCACTTTAAAATATTTAATAATGAATTAATGTTCACACATCTGTTCTTCTCTGACAAGAAATCGGTGTAAGTACTTCAACAGAGTTTTGAATTGGCTGTCACGCCGAGTTGACAAATTAAAACAGTACTTTTTTTATAACAGCATTGTTTTACCAGTATGCAAAAGAATCCTTATTTGACCGGGATCTGAAAAAAGAGAGGCAAAGGTTTGCCAAAAGAACTCATGCAAGAGAATCTACGCAAGGACTGTTGGAGGGTGATGAAGAAGCTGCTTAGTTGGATAGATAGGAAGTCAGAATGGTTCCATCACACATGGCTTCGCCATGACCTCGAAGATGGAAGTTCCACAAGTTAAGAGCTGCAAAAGGGTGAGAGGGCAGTGGATTTGACAGACTAGATCTCTGCATACTCGCTATTACTTGGGAAGACATAGAAATGGTACGAAAATATTGTTGTCTTTGTTCCACAATCTAAAATATTAGGGATATTGAAAGTTGAGCGTGGTCTTAATAAAACACCCGAAACGAAACCTAGTCAAGGTACATTCGTCGGTTGTTCCACTTCGTCGCAACATATGTATGCTCAGCGCTTGGAGAATCAACTACGACTACGTTTGGAAGATCAAAAAAGATTTCAAAATGAACGTGTACGACACCATTTAGAATTTGAAGGTCCGCTTAATATGACATCTTGTCACGTTTTTCGAGAGGCTAACAATCTTGCAGGACGACGTAGGCTTTGGGAATACTACCGAAAATTCCTAATGGTTAAAAACGTGCTTGCGACAAAAAAAAGTAGAATAGTTTTTACAAGGCATAAGTACTGTAGGAAGTGTGAGTGTATGGAATGCTTTTATATAAAACTTCTCATTAGAAGTGTAGTTCTAAACATCTTAGATAACCAACGTGAGGATTGTATGTTCTATGTAGAAATTCCATATTTTGTAATGTAAATTGTGATGATTCACAGACAGGATGCTTTAAGATATGAAGACTGTTGAATATCTTGGGATTTACAAAATGACTGGGTGGCGCCGTAGCCGAGTGGTTGTGATGCTATTGGCGGCGCACGTAGAGCAGGTCTTCACTCCCCAGCTCTTTCCGGGTGTAAAAAACAACACCTTATAGAACGCCACAGTCAGCTTGACTTCAAGACTGCAAGAAGATTTGCCCGACCGGTATTCTACGACGTTTGAAAGAAGACGAAAAAGCGAATCGAATGTTAGGACTATTGGAATCCGCACAATGGAAAAAACACTGTCAAGACGGATCAACAAAATGTCTAAAAATACAAATGATTAATGCAACAATGTGCCGATGTACAAATTGTTTCAGTGTACAAAATAAAAAATGTTGACCGATGCTACAAGTCGAGGGAAAACATCCTTAACACCTGCTTGAAAATTATTTTTTTGTTAGTTTCACACAGTATTGCTTACTATAAATTCATGGGAATATCTCAGGAATATTTCCATACGTAAACAGCTGGACCGAGTCTACAATGTGTTGAAGGAAATGTAGTCCGGCAATGATACAGCGAGAGCGCACGCTGTTTCAGTATGACATTGCCAAATCTCACACCGCAAAGAAGACTCAGGAAAAGTCTGATGAACTGAAGGGAGTCGAGGTGTCGCCGCAACCAGCCCACAGTCCAGATGTAGCGCCGCCCGATTATGGTCCAATTTCCTCTCAGTGGACATTTCCTACGTGGACGCCGATTCGAGACATTTGATCAAGTTGAAGAGGCATACTAGGAGCTTTTTGATTTTAAAGCCCAAGGAATGGCGATTTTGAGCAGATCCGGAACTTGAAGATCCTTGACAGGAGATTGTGGATAATTATGGGCTTTATTTAGAAATATATTCATTGTTGTTTGTTTTTGAGTTTATGTATGAACTCTGAATTTTTTAACGGGAGTTAAGGACCTTTTTCTTCAACCTAATGGTTTCAGAGATTGCTAGTTTTTTTTGAAAGTTGTTGTTATAGGTAGTAGTTGTTTGTTGATGAGTATATTCATAAAGAGTTGAAAAGGCCCTTTTTCAAGAATGTAGCTTTCATAGGTGAAAGCAAGAATTCCTATAACAAGTGAGCGTTCTTCTCACTAAAACTACGTTTACTTGAATCCTAATAATTATCTACAAATTTTTCGCAATAATGGGGTTCCCTTGGTATAAAATTCTACTAAATACGTATCGAGACATTCGCGGTAAATTGAGAGGACGGGTCGACTGAGGCAAGTGCAAAATATTATGCTTTTGTCGCTAGTAGCACAAGCAGAAGATGTCATCTTGGTTCTAAAATTTCCATTTTTTGAGCTATCAAATGAATACTAAGAGTCTAGTAGAATAGGTCTTTTCTAGAAAAACCAAGGGCCCTCACGAACCCAATCCTTCAATTGAGATTGTATGTGACAGATTTTGTTTTCTATGGCAAGATTTTTCAAGACAGTTGGAAGTTCTTAATTTTAAAAACAAGTTGGCGAGATTTTTTTTGATGACAATTTAATATTGTTGACGGAAAACTTATAAGAATCAATGTCTTGCCATATAATCCCAAAAAATCCTATATGACTATGCTAGCTATCAGCCACCAACCTTTAACAGGCTTAGTCGGGTATGCGCATTCGCTTTATAAACTCAGTTAAGCCGACAACCATTATAATAACTTATACTCAAAATTTTTAGTATTTTAATTGCATTTCTCGCAGTGTTGTGATGTTTCGTATATACCCAAGAGAATAGAGTGGTGAGCAAAAACACGGCCTCAGGCAGGAACCAAACCCGCGTTTCATCCTTGTCGGGGAAGTGTGCTCTGCCACTACACATCGAGGTAGTCGGGTATGCGAATTCGCTTTATAAACTTTCTAAGCCGGTGGTGTAGTGGTAGAGCACGCGTCCACTGTGTGGATGAAACACGGGTTCGATTCCTACCTGAGGCCGTGTTTTTGCACACCACTTAATTCTCTTGGGTAATTTCGATATGGATGAGAAAAATGGATTGCAGTTGCGAAGCGTTTTCTCCTATTCATCAATAGAACGTACTATGGAAATCTTTCCATACAAAAAGCTTACTACCAAAATCGAAGTTTTTCAAGCTATTAATTGACTACAAAAACATCAAGAAAGTAGAAGAAAATGTTTGATAACAGTTGGAGTTATACTCCTTTTCCTAATGACCTGGCTTTTCCATATCCATCAAAGCGTTCTCATGTTTTGACCACCAACAGTCGTCCATCTTTGTGGATTGGTGCACATCATCTTTAAATACTACGCAACACGAACCATTACGTTCAAGAGCGCTTAGGAATTTTCAATAGGAAAAGAGGAAAGTAAAACAGCATTTGAAGAAAAAGACTTTCACTGGGACTTCATTTTGTGGTTAAGCTTCATGAAAGCAATTTTCGTTGAGATAGGTAAGTATTGTAGAGTGAATTATCTTAGTACATCACGGTTTGATCCTTCAATTGGCTAAGTTGATTTTGAACACCGAAGGAATATAGATGGCACCACCGATTTCACATGTGTTAACAAAAAAAAAGTCGAATCTGCTCTTGAATTTGCTATGGTGCCCACGTTAATGCTAATACACTTCCACTGTCAGCACTCTTCAATACAAAAACCGAACACTCTATCAGACTTTATCAGCATGTTTTGATGTCTTTGATACGATGATGAGGAGTAAAAAAGCCGGACCAGAGCATTTATTTTGGTTCACTTACTAACATGACCAGCGGAAGAAGTCGGTCTAGAAGTGGAATTAGAAGAAGTCGAAAAAGCCGAAGTTGCTGCAGTTATCTCCCGACCACTGAGCCGACGTTCTCGCCGATGACACCGATCACAGAGGCGCCGTTCGTTATCGTGTGAGTTTTACCATAAACTGAGGATGCACTCCGGTTCATGAAGATAATCAACGTGTAAATTGAAAAGAGTTCGCAAACGGTCATTCTTTGCAATTATATCCACTAGTGAGAAACGCATGAACTTGAACTTCTGTAATAATTTCTGTCAAGTCGTACTAGAGCATGCTGAGTATCACTGCAACGTTTGAAAAGCAGAATCCTATTTTTGTTCCCTTGATACGTTTAACGGAATCTCATTGTTTTGCCGATTTCCTTGTCTTGCCGTGCCTCCTCGAAGTTGTGCTTAGAAAATCTCGAACATAGCTGTGAAAAAATACAATCTATTCATCTTCACAACCAAGTTAATCAAAGCTTCTCTTTTTAACACGACGTAGCAGAAGGAGTCTAAGCGGATACCGAAGATGTCGATCTAGTAGCCTTCGACTACGTAGTTGATATTCCCTAGGAGCTCAGGAAGAACTCGATCGTTCTGCAGTTGCAGAGCCCACTGCAGGTACGTATCAAAATCTGCATCTCTTCTTACAAAGCGTCATGTGGATGCTTTAAAATCCAAAATTGCCCTTTTACTGGGTAGCCTCTCTGCAGTCCTCCGTTTATTCAATAAACCACAGCGCGTTTGTGCTTTTTTGTTATTCTATATCGATCAAATAGTAATGATTTCAATTTTGGAGTCGGTCGCACGAGTCGCTGAAGGCGCACAACCTCACCTCCCAGTGTCGTGTGCCGATTTGTCAAAGCTTGGCATACTGACATACTGTGGGGAGCATCGCAATAGCACGATAACACCAGAGACAACAAAATTTTACTTGTATTGCTTGCTGAAATAATCAATGTGAAAGCGAGAATTTAGCCACGTAGTACTCACTAACTAACAGTAGATTCACCAGGGTACAGGCGAGCAAAATAGTAGAGAAAACGCATAATTAAGTAAGTAGAGCTAAGTTACATTTATAATAAAAAAATCTGAGGTCATGTGGAATGGTTTACGGCGATTAGAAATGATCCGTGTTTTTTTTTTTTTTGGAAAGAGTGGGATATGCGCTTTCTCAAGATTGTAGCTTTCATAATGGAGAGTTCAAATTTCGAAGACAGCTGCGCGTTCTCCTTACAAAAACTACATAGAAGTTCTAATAATAAATTGCTTGAATTTTCGTAATAATAAGGTTTGATTAGGATGAAGTTCTGCATATGACTAGTTTTCTTTGTTGAACAATTCCAAAGTGTTAATGACAGTATTTATTGAATATCAGTGATTCTGTACAATGATACAGTATAGTAATGCAGCACAAACAATACAGTAATCGTACAGTGGCTAACGCTTTGGCGAGGCTTGCCTTCTTCAGAGCGTGAAAAGCTCAATTTGACCGGCAATCCTTCAGTCAAACAGCGAAGGTTGCCCGGTTGAAACATAATTTTATTTCCACTGCTACAGCGAATAAAAACCATCACTTTGGAAATGAGCAGTTCAGATCTGTCAAAATTTAAGCTATCAAACGACTGCCAATACTCTAAGCCTAATCAGAAAAAGCGTTGTTCTTCAAAGATGAATATGTGCAAAGACAGCGAAAAGTACAAGATTTCTCAACTTTTAAATGGTTGCTATGTTCGCCCCGAAGTAGAAACACCGGCGGCGAGATCCAGTGGGTGAATATATAGTGTTAGCAGTGGGTCACTACTGATTAGATATGGGCAGAATCCCTAAACCGCGGTGGTGGGCCGAGCATAGCCAAAGTGAGTTTGCTCCGTCACGGAAGCGCTATGTTCCGCTCACAATTCTATTGAATTAATCTGAGTTGTATGAATGCAACCTTGTGAAAGCAATTAGTTACAAGACAACGAGATTGTGTGGAGAGAGCAATAATGGATCGATTATGATTTGAGGTAAGGTGGTCCGGGTGATGCCAGACGACCGTACGGACGATGCCCTGCGATCGAACTGACTGCTGAGGTTGGTGGCAGCTGGGTGCCGCCCTCGTCACTTGGACCATTTCTGTCTAAGGTCCTAGAACCTATGCGATACCACTTGCTCTTTAAGGTCATGATCCATGTGCGTTGCCTAAATTATCATGTAATTCCCGAAAACATAGCAAAACTCCCTTTGGAGGTTTGCTATAATTTATTACCTTCTGTGTTATATTTATCACTCTCCATCCAGTAGATATCGTCTTGACCCTAATTTTTTGAAAAATAAATAAAGCGGCACTTTCCAAATCTTTGTTGTCACAGTGTAAATCTTTCTTTCCCTCAAATTAGATACCCCGTTTGACTGTTTTTAGAGATTTAACCAAAAATAGACTTCCCAACCAACTTCTCAAATAAAAACAGTTATTGTTGAATTTAACACTTGCAGACTTTCATGACGGTGCCGGAGAAAACCTTGAGAATAGAAGATGTATACAAAGGGAGGTTAAAATCAATTGTACACAATTCAAATTCGTATGGATTTCACTCAATGTATTTTCAGCAGTAATTTTCCCGATTCATTCACTTGCAGTAACTATTTTCAATTTTGGATAAGCTCTTCCCGCCCGTCACACATGACTCACTGTATTTGAAGTATGAAGCTAACTAATAGGAATAATTTACTTAATCGACTTTCATTTATCCTCGGCATGAATAGCCAATATGTGTTTCTTAAATTTTTCAGCTTACAAAAGGTGCTCCATAGAAGAATAGTCGTCTCGAGCGGTGACGAATATTAGTCACACGAGGAGGCTCGAATGTGGACAATTGACTCAAGTCATTTTTTTTAGGAAGACGAAGACGTTGACGCGTTAGCCGAACACAGCTTACTTATCAGCCTCACGTGAGCTGAATGTTCTAAGAAAAACTGATTAACACATTTAAGGCACTCACGCCCTTTCTTTACACTGATATTCTCAACAGACGTGTGATAATCGGCCCTAAGCTGGGAGAATGCTGATGTCACACAAAGGAGTACTTTTACTCGATGAAAGGTGAAGCTGCAATCACGCCTATATTGAGCTGAAACATTGCCATTTGGTACTAGACGCATGCACACACTGTTCCATCTCTAGCAGCACCATGTGTCAGGTTTAAAATACACATGTAGTCTAAATGTCAATTCACTCGCTGCCATCGATGTACCCATTTGTGCTGATTGAAAACTCCACGCGCAGTTAGAGTCTGTGAGCTTTTGCTTGACGGAGAAGTGGTGCGAAACCTGCTTATTCACCTCACACATTTTGAATTTCAACTGGTTTACGTCGATCTGCTTTCTCACGTAAAAGTCACAAAATTTGATGAGCTCATAATGACCAGTGACATTTATGTCAATGCGTTCGGAAAATAATCGCCTTAAAGCTCGTGCGAGATGTCGCAGTACACATCCTCTTGTCCTTCGGGAATTACCTTCAACTCATTTGACGTTTCTGCTTTCTACATATAAGTCGAAGTTCCTATAAATCCTTCTAATCAGCAATAGATTTGGTGTTGTTCTAGGTGTGAAATAAAAATGATTGTAATGAGGCTTATGCGTTGCGCTGCGGAGCACATGTCATTACCTTCCTCACCTGTGGTCCTTTCTTTATTTTTGTGCCCTCTCCATCAGCATCAACCTCTGTAGCGCAACAGACGTTCACGTCTAAAAGATAGTGTTTGTCAATTATTATGAGTAGAAAATAGCATAGTTAAGTCGGCTGGTGGTAAACTACATTGACTGTCTGCTTACTGTCGAACACTTCCCAGAATAGCTTGCCCTGCCTATCCTAACATACCGAGAGCACAATCTTCCCGAGCGTGGAGCTTAGGTTTTGGTTGAGCTGGCGTGTCATCACATCACTCTGCTGTAGCTCATTTTATGGAAATGGCCAGCGATCGTGCTATGGCCATATCCAAGTAAAACTAGAACATTCTTTGACCTACAGAGCGTTTTGACGAAAACGCTGTTCGAAAAGAAAAAACTAGATAGAACAATTATGCGAAAGAAATTATGGGACAAAGCAATGCTTCAAGAATAGGTTTAAATTTTTTATGTCTGATGGTAAGGGCTGTGAAGTAATGGTGGCACTATATCGCTCTGTCTCACTGATTCAATCTTCATCCAATTTTCCTCATTC